ATAGTAATACATACGTATATTGTGACAGTTATTAGCTCTATCATGTTCTTTGTATAGAAAAAGATAGATAATGTTCTTTCTAGTGGTTGTCAGCTACAGTCGTGATATTATATCCCAGAATACTTTAAACCACCTAAGTTATTTTTTAAAATTTAGTTATGAATTACCAGATTTATGTCGCACGTTGACAATACATAAGTTGTATAACTGTGTTATTGGTAATTTACATGAGGTTGTAATTAGATTAAAATTAAATATAATTATTATTAATTACTATCGATTGCTTTTAATATCTTTTAGACTAATCGTCTGGTAAGTCTTTTAAATCCAAAGCGTGAAATACCTACAAGACGTAATGATCTTAATGAAAAATACTCAAAATGGATTGGTCCATTTATGCAATCAATTGACAATTCAGACGAAACAACATATTCTATACTAGTACCATGTAATATTAACGTTAACGAACAATTTGCATGTTTATTAGAACCCACAAAATTTCTCTATCCAATGAAAGAATCAAAAAATGGTCAACAAGAAATACTACGTGATTTACTCCTATGGTCATTATTCATGTATCGTCTTGATTTAGCTAAAGTATTTATTTTACATTTAAAATCACGTATATGTGCAGCATTAATTGCATCTAAAATATTAAAAATGTTTTCTAAAAAAACAACAATTGATTTACAATTAAGGGAACAATTATCACGGGAATCAGATGAATTCGATTTAATTGCAACAAAATTTATTAATTCATGCTATGAATATAAAGAAGATTTAGCTTGTGAATTATTACTTAGACCTGTACCATTATTTGGTAATGTTACTTGTACGCAGGTAGTGTAGCCTCTTTTTTCAAATGATATATGAGAAAAGTTTATAGATAGTAATAATGGCGTTTACAAATAAAGTATATGCTTCTCTTACGTTGAACTAATTTAGACTATTTTGTTGTATTATCAGTTCCGTTTATTCTGGAAGTAAGATGATTGCAATACGTTTCGTTTTATATGGAAGATCTTTCGACAGCCCATAGAAAAAGGAATGTCTCTAACAAAGTCATTTCTTGAAGAAATTCGCTCATTTTTCGTTGTATATAATGCAAAAATATATAAAGTGGTAAATGTGTTTCTGATTTTTTTATGTTTTAGATTGCAATAGCAAATGAAAATAAATTATTTCTTCAAACATCGTGCTTTGATCGTACATTGAATAGAATATGGTATGATAAACTATCACTAACAAATCGAAGTATACTATCAAAACCAGGCGTATTAATTAGTGAATTAACATTTGGTTTGACAGTTAGTGTGCCAAAATTAATTCGTTTTGTGTATATCCAAGTAAATTGTGCGATGAACGATAACTCTATTTATATTTATACTTTAAACAATTTCAGGATAATCTCGAAGAAAACAGAGAAGCAGAGTATGTTAAACTATACGATAATTTAAGCTAAAAAACCTAACTATTTTACTTTTCAAATAGGTTTTCATCTAATGGGATTAATTATTATATGAATCAAGAACACCAAAAACATTTCTGGCCACGATTTTCCTATTTTCATGAAAGTCCATTCATTAAAATGGGTTATCATCTAGTAAGAAGATCAGTTATATATGTTGTGGAGAAAGTACAGATTCACGGACGAATCTGTAGATTTTTCAACAAGATCATAAAAAAAATATAGAACAAAGGCTTTGATTTTTCGACTTTTTAAATGTATAGAGTGAATAAAAACAAACATTTAACATAAGAAGAACTTTAGTGTCCGTTTCTCCTGTTCTTATTGTAGATCATCTATAAAATCTTTTTGAGCTTTTCGTGTTCTTGTACGCTTACTTAAAATTAAAACACTTTTAATGTGTCAGAACTACTTTAAAATCTCTAATAAACTATACATTCTACAAAAATATGACTCGAAGTCTCTATTCTATAGCCTTTTCGATCTTGTTGGCGAATCTACGGAATTGCTAATCCTGAACTTTCTCCATAACATGTAACATGTTGGCCAGAATAAATCGATCACTTAGTATTTACTCATATCTCAGTTGGATTTTATTTCTTAAGTTTTATTTACTTCAGTATTTATTTAAGTACCAACGTTACTTGTGGTAGTACTTGGTAAAGTACTTATCAAGTGCTTCTTTCGCAAAGTGCTTACGAACTCTCTAAAAAAAAAGGTTTATTACGAAACTTAAAAGGGTATAGAGAAGTGCAACCATTTCTAAACCCTTTTAGGTTTCGTAGAAGACATGGTGCAGTACGAAATCGTTTAAGTGCATACATTCTAGCAGTTTTTTTCTAAAAATTCTTTTTGCTGAGCAAGTGAACCATTTCAACAGCTTGGGCGTGTTTTCATTGTATAGGGCGGCGAAAACGGAGCCCAAAAAATAGCTGAAACTTTTGTAATTTTTGATTTTTCGAGAAAAAATCATGTGGATAAAACATAACGAAATGCACTGATCAATCATTTTCATGCACTTAAAACGGTTTCGTACTTCACCTTGTCTTCTACGAAACCTAAAAGGATTTAGAAATGGTTGCACTTCTCTATACCCTTTTAAATTTCGTAATAAACCTTTGTTTTTAGAGAGAAGTGCTGTTATAATCAATTTCTGTTAAATCGAGAAAAGAAGTTAACACTGAACGAAAGCAAATATGAGTCGACTGGGAGTCGAAGCCGGGACCATAATAACATTCTGTGTCAATGCTCTAATCAGCTATCAAGCCACAACTTCATCATATCGTTTTTCGTCTTACGTAGCAAGTAGCG